TTTTTTTGCATAATTCGAATGAGAATCATGTACCGAGTATGCTCCTTAAATATTGATAGTAATTCACCAGTCACCCTGTATACTTCCCAAAAATTTCAAGTCAGTAAAAGTCACGGCTGCCCCTTGAGCATAAACCAGATCATTTCCGATCTGTTATTTTGACGTCATCTTAGGTGTAATTTTTTTTAAAGTATCTAATTCCTAAACAACTCTCATACGACACAGTCGTTCGTGCATCGTGATATTTTCGGAAGGCCATGTTTTCCAAGCCATTACATTTCCCTCCAATAATAAATATTGTTCATTGTTATCAATGGAAATGCGTCAGATACTGGCTGAATGAGATTATTTGTTATTTATCGTCGCCATCAATGCCAGCTCGAGAATACGTAATCTTGTAATAACTTATCCGTCTATGTTACCAGTGTAAAGCTACGAAATACTAAATTCGTAAATAATAAACATTGAACAAAATATCCCCTATTGTAATCTTTGTTATTTAAAATTATTACAAGGTGAATGAACTTACTGGGAATTTTTTAAATAAATGACAGGCTAATAATCAAAAAATTCATTTTATAAACCAAAGATTTCAGTAACAGTAGTAGACAGTACATAATATGTACATATCAAAACCGAATGTGGGTCATCTAAGTTTTAATACGTATTTCTTTATATTAAATAATGTATGTATAATTCTTACGTGTACTCGCGACTATACAGACCTAGATTAAATCTTTGAATGTATCGAATGAGAAGAAAAAGAAAAGAAAAAAGAAAAGTAAATATAGCATTCATAGTTAAATTTAATCTTTGTTATATGCCCATAACTTACCTTTAGGAAATAATTGAGAGGAATTAGGAGAACTCCTTTGTAGCTGAACTTGATTCATATTTAAATCCAAGTGGTGACTACAAGATGCATCATTGTCTTCTTTTTGTGTATCAACGCATTTTTCAGTTTCAACAGAATGTGATGAGTACAGTCTCAAATGTTTATGCTGCTAAATAAATTTTTTTTTTTAATACAAATAAATATATTAAAAGAAAAGTTAAATGAAAAGTTGAATGTTGAAGAAAAGTTGAATGATAACATATTGTCTTGATTGTATCTTTCTTCCTCGTTTCTTTTAGAGTTTCTGATTGAATGTAAATAGACTTGTAATTTTTACTGAATTAAACACTCTCATTCTTATATTACATAAAAATCTATAAACGACTTTTTTTGCTTTGTAGTTATCCAGTGAAATTATAATCTCTGCATATTTAAAATACTTTGTTTTTGTTTTACCAATGTAAAGAAGTGGAGTAGAGTTGGTACAGCATTTTGAGTAAGTTGTGTACTTGAAGAACGGTAAAAATCATTAAATTGTAAAAAATTTATATAATTTCAAATCATTGCTCTTAATATAATGTAGGCGTTATAACTTTAATTTCTTATATATTGTGAAATGTATTAAGAATCAGAATATATTTTAATTAAGGAATTAATTGTTTTTTTTTTTCATTTTTATTTGTTTGAAAAAAAAACCTTATTAACCTTCAAAGTAAACTGAAATGACATAGATATACCAAATGTCCTTTTATACCAATTTTCCTTACATACCAATTTTTTTTATATACCAAATGTGCCATCCAAATATAACAAATATGCCATCACCGTCACCATCTCCATCATCTCCATCATCCCCATCATCCACATCACCCCCATAACCCCCTTTATCCCCATCATCCCCATCATCCCCATCATCAAATTTTCAAAGGTGGAAGAGCCTAGCTGTAGTCAGTTACTACAGCTCGAACATGGGCTGGCTCGACCGGGGAAGTACCACCCTCTCACAGAAGATCGGCGTGAAGTAGCCTTGAATGGCTGCGTTTCGTCCGATGAGTGAGAGAGCCGGTTGCCCTTTCCCTATTCCCACCCTTTCCTACCATTTCCTAATTCCCACCCCTCCTTATCCCTAAAAAACAAGGTTGGCAACGCATCCGCAACAAAATGTTGCGACGTCAATGGGCGACGGTAACCACCTTACATCAAGTGGGCCGTCTGCTCGTTTGCCACCTTTCACATAAAAAAAAAAAAAAACATCCCTATCATTCCCATCATATCCATCATCCCCTTTATCCCCATTACACCCATCATCCCCATCACCCCCTTCATCCCCATTATCTCCATTATCTCCATCATCCACATCGCCCCCATCATCCCCATCATCTCCATCATATCCATCATCCGCATCACCCCCTTATCCCGATGATCTCATTCATCCACATCACCCCCATCATCTCCATCATCCCCATCATCCCCTTTATCCCCATCACCCCCATCACCTCCATTATCCCTATCATCTCCATCATCTCCATCAACCACATCACCCCCATCATACCCATCACCCCATTCATCCTCATAATCCCCATCATCTCCATCATCCCCATCATCTCCATCATCCCCATCACATCCATCATCCCCATCACCCCCTTCATCCCCATCATCTCCAACATCTCCATCATCCACATTACACCCATCATCCCCATCACCCCCTTCATCACCATCATCTCCATCATCCCCATCATCCCCATCACCCCCTTCATTACCACCATTTCCATCATCCCGAACACACCCATCATCCCCATCACCCCCGTCATCCCCATCATCTCCATCATCCCCATTACCCCCTTCATCCCAGTCATCTCCATCATCCTTATCATCTCCATCACACCCATCATCCCCATCACCCCCATCAACCCAATCATCCCCATCAGCCCTTTCGTCTCCATTATCTCGATCATCTCCATCATCCCCATCACACCCATCATCCCCATCACCCCCTTCATCACCATCATCTCCATCATCCCCATCATCCCCATCACCCCCTTCATCCCCATCATCTCCATCATCACCATCATCTCCATCATCCCCATCACACCATTCATCCCCATAATCTCCATCATCTCATCACATCCATCATCCTTATCATCCACATCATTCCCCTCATCCCCATCATCATCATCTCCATCACCCCCATCATCCCCATTACCCCCTTTATCCCCATCATCTCTATCATCTCCATCATCTCCTTCATCTCCATCACCCCCATCATCCCCATCACCCCCATCAACCCCGTCATCTCCATCATCTCCTTCACCCCCTTCATCCCCATCACCCCTTTCATCCCCATCATCCCTATAATCTCCATCATCTCCATCATCCCCATAATCCCCATCATCTCCATGAGCCCCTTCATCCCAATCACCCCCATCATCTCCATCATCTCCATCATCCCCATCATCCCCATCATCCACATCACCCCCATAACCCTCTTTATCACCATCAACCCTATCATCCCTATCTTTCCCATCACCCCCATTATATCCATCATCCCCATCATCCCTATCATCTCCATCATCCCCATCACACCCATCATCTCCTTCAACCCCTTCATCGCCATAACCCCCATCATCCCCATCATCTCCATCATCTCCATGAGCACCATCACCCCCATCATCTCCATCATCTCCATCATCCCCATCATCCACATCACCCCCATAACCCTCTTTATCCCCATCATCCCCATCATCCCTATCATCTCCATCATCTCCATCATCTCCATCACCCCCTTCACCCCCATCACCCCAATCATCCCCATCATCTCCATCACCCTCTTCATCCCCATCACCCCCATCATCTCCATCATCTCCATCAGCAGCTTCACCCCCATCAACCCCATTATCTCCATTATCTCCATCATCCCCATCATCCCCTTCATCCCCATCACCCCCATCATCTCCATTATCTCCATCATCCCCATCACCCCCATAACCCCCTTTATCCCCATCAACCCAATCATCCCTATCATCCCCATCACCCCCATCATATCCATCATCCCCATAATCCCCTTTATCCCCATCACCCCCAACATCCACATCACCCGAATCATCCCCATCATCTCCATCAACTCCATCATCCCCATAATCCCCATCACCCCCACATCTCCATCATCCCCATCACCCCCATCATTTTCATCATCTCCATCATCCCCCTCACCCCCATCAACCCCATCACCCCGTCATCCCCATCATCCCCATCATCCCTATCATCTCCATCATCTCCATCAACTCCATCATCCCCATAATCCCCATCACCCCCATCATCTCCATCATCCCCATCACCCCCATCATCTTCATCATCTCCAATATCCCCCTCACCCCCATCAACCCCGTCATCCCCATGATCTCCATTATCTCCATCACCCTCTCAATCCTCATCACCCCCATCATCTCCATCATCCCCATCACCCCCATCATCTTCATCATCTCCATCATCCACATCATCCACATCATCCCCATCGTCTCCATCATCCACATCAACCCCCTAATCCCCATCATCTCCATCACACCCATCATCCCCATCATCTTTATCATCTCCATCATCCACATCACCCGAATCATCCCCATCATCCCCATAATCCCCATCATCTCCATGAGCCCCTTCATCATCCCCATCATCCCATCATCTCCATCATCCCATCTTCCACATCACCCCATCATCCCATCATCATCCTCCATCATCCTCATCACCCATCATCCCAATCACCCCCATCATCTCCATCATCTCCATCATCCCCATCATCCCCATCATCCACATCACCCCCATAACCCTCTTTATCACCATCAACCCTATCATCCCTATCTTTCCCATCACCCCCATTATATCCATCATCCCCATCATCCCTATCATCTCCATCATCCCCATCACACCCATCATCTCCTTCAACCCCTTCATCGCCATCACCCCCATCATCCCCATCATCTCCATCATCTCCATGAGCACCATCATCCCAATCATCCCTATCATCTCCATCATCTCCATCATCTCCATCATCTCCATCACCCCCTTCACCCCCATCACCTCAATCATCCCCATCATCTCCATCACCCTCTTCATCCCCATCACCCCCATCATCTCCATCATCTCCATCAGCCCCTTCACCCCCATCACCCCCATTATCTCCATTATCTCCATCATCCCCATCATCCCCTTCATCCCCATCACCCCCATCATCTCCATTATCTCCATCATCCCCATCACCCCCATAACCCCCTTTATCCCCATCAACTCCATAATCCCCATCACCCCCACATCTCCATCATCCCCATCACCCCCATCATCTTCATCATCTCCATCATCCCCCTCACCCCCATCAACCCCATCACCCCGTCATCCCCATCATCCCCATCATCCCTATCATCTCCATCATCTCCATCAACTCCATCATCCCCATAATCCCCATCACCCCCATCATCTCCATCATCCCCATCACCCCCATCATCTTCATCATATCCATCATCCCCCTCACCCGCATCAACCCCATCACCCCCCGTCATCCCCATCATCCCCATCATCCCTATCATCTCCATCATCTCCATCAACTCCATCAACCCTATCATCCCCATAATCCCCATCACCCCCATCATCTCCATCATCCCCATCACCCCCATCATCTTCATCATCTCCAATATCCCCCTCACCCTCATCAACCCCGTCATCCCCATGATCTCCATTATCTCCATCACCCTCTCAATCCTCATCACCCCCATCATCTTCATCATCCCCATCACCCCCATCATCTTCATCATCTCCATCATCCACATCATCCACATCATCCCCATCGTCTCCATCATCCACATCAACCCCCTAATCCCCATCATCTCCATCACACCCATCATCCCCATCATCTTTATCATCTCCATCATCCACATCACCCGAATCATCCCCATCATCTCCATCAACTCCATCATCACCATAATCCCCATCACCCCCACATCTCCATCATCCCCATCACCCCCATCATCTTCATCATCTCCACCATCCCCCTCACCCCCATCAACCCCTTTATCCCCATCAACCCAATCATCCCTATCATCCCCATCACCCCCATCATATCCATCATCCCCATAATCCCCTTTATCCCCATCACCCCCAACATCCACATCACCCCAATCATCCCCATCATCTCCATCAACTCCATCATCCCCATAATCCCCATCACCCCCATCATCTCCATCATCCCCATCACCCCCATCATCTTCATCATCTCCATCATCCCCCTCACCCCCATCAACCCCGTCATCCCCATGATCTCCATTATCTCCATCACCCTCTCAATCCTCATCACCCCCATCATCTCCATCATCCCCATCACCCCCATCATCCCCATTATCTCCATCATCTCCATCACCCCCATCATCCAAATCATCCCCATCGTCTCCATCATCTCTATCATCCCCATCGTCCCCATCATCCACATCACCCCCATAACCCTCTTTATCACCATCAACCCTATCATCCCTATCTTTCCCATCACCCCCATCATATCCATCATCCCCATCATTCCCTTTATCCCCATCACCCCCAACATCCACATCACCGCCATCATCCCCATCATCCCTATCATCTCGATCATCCCCATCACACCCATCATCTCCTTCAACCCCTTCATCGCCATCACCCCCATCATCCCCATCATCTCCATCATCTCCATGAGCACCATCACCCCCATCATCTCCATCATCTCCATCATCCCCATCATCCACATCACAACCATAACCCTCTTTATCCCCATCATCCCCATCATCCCTATCATCTCCATCATCTCCATCATCTCCATGAGCCCCTTCATCCCCATCACCCCCATCATCCCCATAATCCCTATCACCCCCATCATCTCCATCATCTCCATCACCCCCTTCACCCCCATCATCCCAATCATCCCCATTATCTCCATCACCCTCTTCATCCCCATCACCCCCATCATCTCCATCATCTCCATCAGCCCCTTCATCCCCATCACCCCCATTATCTCCATTATCTCCATCATCCCCATCACCCTCTTCATCCCCATCACCCCCATCAACTCCATCATCTCCATCAGCCCCTTCATCCCCATCACCCCTATCATCTCCATCATCTCCATCATCCCCATCATCCACATCACCCCCATAACCCTATTTATCCCCATCATCCCCATCATCCCCCTATCATCTCCATCATCTCCATCATCTCCATGAGCCCCTTCATCCCCATCACCCCCATCATCCCCATAATCGCTATCACCCCCATCATCTCCATCTTCTCCATCACCCCCTTCACCCCCATCACCCCAATCATCTCCATCATCTCCATCAGCCCCTTCATCCCCATCATTCCCCATCATATCTCATCCCCTTTATCTCCATCATCCCCATCATCCCCATCATCTCCATCATCCATCATCACCCCAATCATCTCCATTATCTCCATCATCCCCATCACCCCCATAACCCCCTTTATCCCCATCAACCCAATCATCCCTATCATCCCCATCACCCCCATCATATCCATCATCCCCATAATCCCCTTTATCCCCATCACCCCCAACATCCACATCACCCCAATCATCCCCATCATCTCCATCAACTCCATCATCCCCATAATCCCCATCACCCCCACATTTCCATCATCCCCATCACCCCCATCATCTTCATCATCTCCATCATCCCCCTCACCCCCATCAACCCCTTTATCCCCATCAACCCAATCATCCCTATCATCCCCATCACCCCCATCACCCCCATCATATCCATCATCCCCATCATCCCCTTTATCCCCATCACCCCCAACATCCCCATCACCCCAATCATCCCCATCATCTCCATCATCCCCATCATCCCCATCATCCCCATCATCCCCATCATCTCCATCATCCCCATCACCCCCATCATCTTCATCATCTCCATCATCCCCCTCACCCCCATCAACCCCATCATCCCCATCACCTCCATCTCCATCATCTCCATCATCCCTCTCAATCCTCATCACCCCCATCATCCTCCATCATCCCCATCATCCCCATCCCCCCATCATCCCCATCATCTCCATCATCCACATCATCCCCATCATCCCCATCGTCTCCATCATCCACATCACCCCCTCATCCCTATCATCTCCATCATCCCATCACCCATCATCCCCATCATCTTTATCATCTCCATCATCCACATCATCCACATCATCCTCATCATCTCCATCATCCCCATCACCCCCATCATCATCCCATCATCCCCCCATCCCATCCCCATCATCCCCCATCATCTCCATCATCTCCATCATCCCCCATCCCCATCATCCCCATCACCCCCATCATCCCCATCATCTCCATCACTCCATCAGCCCCTTCATCCCCATCACCCCCATCATCTCCATCATCTCCATCAGCCCCTTCATCCCCATCACCCTCATCATCTCCATCATCCCCATCACCCCCATCATCTCCATCATCTCCATCACCCTCTTCATTCTCATCATCCTTATTAACTCCATCATCTCCATCAGCCCCTTCATCCCCATCACCCCTATCATCTCCATCATCTCCATCATCATCATCATCCCATCATCCCCTTCATCCCATCATCCCATCCCCCCATCATCTCCATCATCCCCATCACCCATCATCATCTCCATCATCTCCCATCATCACCCTCTTCATCCTCATCATCCCCATCATCTCCATCATCTCCATCATCCCCCTTCATCCCCATCACCCCTCATCATCTCCATCATCTCCATCATCATCATCATCCCCATCATCCCCATTATCTCCATCATCTCCATAATCCCCCATTTCAACCATCATCCCCATCACCCCCTTCATCCCCATCATCATCCATCATCCCCATCAGCCCTATCACCCCCTTCATTCCCATCACCTCCATCATCCCCATCACCCCCTTCATCTTCATCATCTCCATCATCCACATCATCCACATCATCCACATCATCCCCATCGTCTCCATCATCCACATCACCCCCCCCCTCATCCCCATCATCCCATCATCCATCATCCCATCATATCCATCATCCCCATCGTCCCCTTTATCCCCATCACCCCCAACATCCATCCCATCACCCCAATAATCCCCATCATCCCCATCATATCCATCATCTCCATCATCCCCATTACACCCATCATCCCCATCATCCCCATCACCCCCTTCATCCCCATCATCTCCATCATCCCCATCACACCAATCATTTCCATCATCTCCATCACCCCCTTCATCCCCATCACCCTCTTCATCCCCATCACCCCTATCATCCCTTATCAGTTTTTTTTTCGGGTTATTAATACTTAATAGTGACTTCCGGCAGAAAAGTAATTTTTACTGATTTAAACACTGTCATTCTTATATTACATAAAAAACAATAAACGACTTTTTTTTTTTTGGTTTGTAGTTATCCAGTGAAAATATAATCTCTGCATATTTAGAACACTTTGTGTTTGTTTTACCTATGTCAAGAAGTGAAACAAGTAGTTATATTGCGATACTGTTTGTAGGCACTTTTCTTTATTAAGATAAAAAAGGTAATAAAGACCGCACATTATAAATCGATCAAATCTATATACCATGTAAGTATATAAAAATGTTAAGATGACTTGTATACCTATTTCATTATATTCAATTTAATCATTTTTTTTTTAATTTTTAATTATGAGCACCAATTTCTAAAGTAAAATAATAATAATGTAAAATATTATCTATATATATAAAATATAATTGATTATTTATATTTTTTTTTATATTAGTAGTATGTATTGTGTGCCTATAACTACTTGGGAAGTTGCTTACTTTAGATACTTAAGTATAGAGTTGGTACAGCATTTTGAGCAATTCGTGTACTAGAAGAACGGTAAAAATCATTAAATTGTAAAAATTTTATGTAATTTTAAATCATTGCTCTTAATATAATGTAGGAGTTATAACTTTAATTTCTTATATATTGTGAAATGTATTAAGAATTAGAATATATTTTAATTAAGGAATTAATTGTTGTTTTTTCATTTTTATTTGTTGAAAAAAAAAACTAATAAACCTTCAAAGTAAACTGAAATGACGGAGGTATACCAAATGTCCTTATATACCAACTTTCCTTACAAATCAAAGGTCTTTATATACCAATTTTCCTTATATACCAATTTTCCGTATATACCATGTTTTTATATGCCAAATGTGCCATCCAAATATAACAAATATGCCATTACCGTACCATCTCCATCATCTCCATCATCCCCATCACCCCCATAATCCCCATCATCCCAATCATCTCCATCATCTCCATCATCCCCATCATCCACATCACCCCCATCTTCCCTACAACCCCATCATCCCAATCATCTCCATCATCTCCATCATCCCCATCATCCCCATCATCTCCATAATCTCCATCATCCACATCATCCCCATCCCCATCACCCCATTCATCCCCATAATCTCCATCATCCCCATCATCATCCATCATCCCCATCATCCCACATCACCCCCATCCATCCCCATCATCATCATCATCTCCATCATCCCCATCATCCCCATCATCCCCATCATCATCATCATCTCCATCATCCCCATCATCCCCATCACCCCCATCATCTTCATCATCTCCATCTTCCCCCTCACCCCCATCAACCCCGTCATCCCCATGATCTCCATCATCTCATCACATCCATCATCCTCATCATCCACATCATTCCCCTAATCCCCATCATCATCAACTCCATCATCCCCATAATCCCCATCATCCCCATCATCTTCATCATCTCCATCATCCACATCATTCACATCATCCCCATCGTCTCCATCATCCACATCAACCCCCTCATCCCCATCATCTCCATCACACCCATCATCCCCATCATCCCCATCCCCATCACCCCCATCATCCCCATCATCCCCATCATCCATCATCTCCATCACCCCCATCATCCCCATCATCCCCATCATCCCCATCATCTCCATCATCCCCATCACCCCCCATCATCTCCATCATCTCCATCATCCCCATCATCCCCCATCCCCCCCACCCCCATCCCCATCAACCCATCATCCCTATCATCCCCATCACCCCCATCATCATCCATCATCCCCATCAATCATCCCCTTCATCCCCATCACCCCCAACATCCACATCACCCGAATCATCCCCATCATCTCCATCATCTCCATCATCTCCATCATCCCCATCACCCCCATCATCCCCATCATCCCCATCATCCCCCCATCATCATCTTCATCATCATCTCCACCATCCCCATCACCCCCATCATCCCCATCCCATCATCCCCATCATCCATCATCATCCATCAATCATCATCCATCATCTCCATCATCTCCATCATCCCCATCATCCCCATCATCCCCCCATCATCATCTCCATCATCCCCATCATCCCCATCATCCCCATCATCCCCATCATCCCTATCATCCCCCATCATCCCCATCATCTCCATCATCCCCATCACCCCCATCATCCCCATCATCCCCATCATCCCCATCATCTCCATCACCCTCTTCATCCCCATCACCCCTATCATCTCCATCATCTCCATCAGCCCCTTCATCCCCATCACCCCCATCATCTCCATCATCTCCATCATCCCCATCATCCCCATCACCCCCATCATCTCCATCATCTCCATCATCCCCATCACCCCCACATCTCCATCATCCCCATCACCCCCATCATCTTCATCATATCCATCATCCCCATCATCCCCCGCATCAACCCCATCATCCCCGTCATCCCCATCATCCCCATCATCCCCATCATCCCCATCATCTCCATCATCTCCATCACCCCCATCATCCCCATCATCCCCATCACCCCCATCATCCCCATCATCCCCATCACCATCATCCCCATCATCTTCATCATCTCCATCATCCCCCTCACCCTCATCATCACCCCATCATCCCCATCCATCATCCCATCATCTCCATCATCCCCATCAATCTCATCATCCCCATCATCTCCATCATCCCCATCATCCCCATCATCCCCATCATCGCCATCACCCCATCATCCCCATCATCTCCATCATCTCCATCATCCCCATCACACCCATCATCCCCATCATCTCCATCACACCCATCATCCCCATCATCCCATCATCTCCATCATCCCCATCACCCATCATCATCCCCATCATCTCCATCATCATCCCATCATCCCCATCATCCCCATCATCCCCATCATCTCCATCATCCCCATCATCCCCCCATCATCCCATCATCTCCATCATCCCCCATCACCCCCATCAACCCCTTTATCCCCATCAACCCCATCATCCCTATCATCCCCATCCCCATCCCCATCATCATCCATCATCCCCATCCCCATCCCCTTTATCCCCATCACCCCCAACATCCCCATCACCCCCATCATCCCCATCATCTCCATCATCTCCATCATCCCCATCATCCCCATCACACCCCCATCATCATCCCATCATCCCCATCACCCCCATCATCTTCATCATCTCCATCATCATCCCCATCACCCCCATCATCCCCATCATCCCCATCATCTCCATCATCTCCATCATCCCCATCTCTCCATCCTCATCATCCCCCCCATCATCTCCATCATCCCCATCATCCCATCACCCCCATCATCCCCATCATCCTCCATCATCTCCATCATCCCCATCATCCATCATCCCCATCATCCCCATCGTCTCCATCATCTCCATCATCCCCATCATCCCCCCCATCATCCATCATCACCCCCATCACCCCCTTTATCACCATCAACCCCATCATCCCCATCTTCCCCATCACCCCCATCATATCCATCATCCCCATCATCCCCTTTATCCCCATCACCCCCATCATCCCCATCACCCCCATCATCCCCATCATCATCCCCATCATCTCCATCATCCCCATCACACCCATCATCTCCTTCATCATCCCCATCATCCCATCATCCCCCATCATCCCCCATCATCCCATCATCTCATCCATCATCCCCATCATCCCCATCATCCCCATCATCTCCCATCATCTCCATCATCCCCATCATCCCATCATCAACATCATCCCCCTCCATCATCCCCATCATCCCCATCATCCCCATCATCCCCATCATCTCCATCATCCATCATCCATCATCCCCATCATCCCATCATCCCCATCACCCCCATCATCCCCATCATCCCCATCATCCCCCCATCCATCATCCATCATCCCCATCACCCCCATCACCCCCATCATCCCCATCATCCCCATCATCTCCATCACCCCCATCATCCCCATCACCCCCCCCATCATCTCCATCATCTCCATCATCCCCTTCATCCCCATCACCCCCATCATCCCCATCATCTCCATCATCCCCATCACCCTCTTCATCCCCATCACCCATCATCTCCATCATCTCCATCATCTCCATCATCCCCCTTCATCCCCATCACCCCCATCATCTCCATCATCTCCATCATCCCCATCATCCACATCACCCCCATCAACCCTATTCATCCCCATCATCCCCATCATCCCCATCATCCCCATCATCTCCATCATCTCCATCATCTCCATCATCCCCATCATCCCCATCATCCCATCATCCCCATCATCATCCCATCACCCCATCATCCCCATCATCATCCCATCATCCCCCCCATCACCCCCATCACCCCCATCATCCCCATCATCTCCATCATCCCCATCTTCATCCCCATCACCCCCATCACCCCCATCATCTCCATCATCTCCATCAGCCCCTTCATCCCCATCATCATTATTATCATCTCCTTTATCTCCATCATCCCCATCATCCCCATCATCCCAATCACCCCAATCATCTCCATCATCTCCATCATCCCCATCACCCCCATCACCCCCCATCATCCCCATCATCATCCCCATCATCCCCATCATCCCCATCACCCCCATCATCCCCATCATCATCCCATCATCCCCATCATCCCCATCATCCCCATCATCCATCATCCCCATCACCCCCATCATCCCCATCATCCCCATCAACTCCATCATCCCATCATCCCCATCACCCCCATCATCCCCATCATCCCCATCACCCCCATCATCCCCATCATCTCCATCATCCCCATCACCCCCATCACCCCCATCATCCCCATCATCCCCATCATCCCCATCATCCCCATCATCATCCCCATCCCCCCCATCCCCATCATCCCCATCATCCCCATCATCCCCCATCATCCCCATCATCCCCATCACCCCCATCATCTCCCATCATCTCCATCATCCCCCATCACCCCCATCATCACCCCATCATCCCCATCATCCATCTCCATCATCTCCATCATCCCATCATCCCCATCATCCCCATCATCCCATCCCATCATCCCCATCATCCCCATCACCCCCCCCATCATCCCCATCATCTCCATCATCCCCATCATCCACATCATCCCCCATCATCATCTCCATCATCCCCATCATCCCCATCATCCCTATCATCTCCATCACCCCCATCATCCCCATCACCCCCATCATCTCCATCATCCCCATCATCCACATCATCCCCATCATCCCCATCATCTCCATCATCCCCATCATCCCCATCATCCCCATCCCCATCATCCCCATCATCCCCATCATCCCCATCATCCCCATCATCCCCATCCATCACCCCCATCATCCCCATCATCCCCCATCATCCCCATCATCCCCATCATCTCCATCAACCCATCACCCCCATCATCCCCATCACCCCCATCATCCCCATCATCTCCATCATCCCCATCATCCCATCCCCCATCATCCCCATCACCCCCATCATCCCCATCATCCCCATCATCCCCATCATCCCCATCATCTCCATCATCTCCATCACATCTCTTCATCCTCATCATCCCCATCATCTCCATCATCTCCATCATCCCCATCATCCCATCATCCCCATCACCCCATCATCTCCATCATCCATCATCATCATCATCATCCCCATCAAATCCATCATCTCCCATCATCTCCATAATCCCCATTTCAACCATCATCATCCCCATCACCCCCTTCATCACCATCATCTCCATCATCCCCATCAGCCCATCACCCCCATCATCCCCCCATCATCCACCTCCATCATCCCCATCATCCCCATCATCTCCCATCATCATCCATCATCATCAACATCATCCCCATCATCCCCATCATCCCATCATCATCATCCCCATCACCCCCATCATCCCCATCATCTCCCATCACACCCATCATCATCCATCATCATCCATCATCCCCATCATCCCATCATCCCATCATCCCCATCACCCCCATCATCCCATCATCCCCCCATCCCCATCATCATCCCCCATCCCATCCCCATCATATCCATCATCTCCATCATCCCCATCATCTCAATCATCCCCATCATCCCCATCACCCCCTTCATCCTCATCATCTCCATCATCCCCATCACACCAATCATTTCCATTATCTCCATCACCCCCTTCATCCCCATCACCCTCTTCATCCCCATCACCCCTATCATCCCTTATCAGTTTTTTTTTCGGGTTATTAATACTTAATAGTGACTTCCGGCAGAAAAGTAATTTTTACTGATTTAAACACTGTCATTCTTATATTACATAAAAAACAATAAACGACTTTTTTTTTGGTTTGTAGTTATCCAGTGAAATTATAATCTCTGCATATTTAGAACACTTTATGTTTGTTTTACCTATGTCAAGAAGTGACACAAGTAGTTATATTGCGAAACTGTTTGTAGGCACTTTTCTTTATTTAGATAAAAAAGGTAATAAAGACCGCACATTATAACTCGATCAAATCTATATACCATGTAGTATATAAAAATGTTAAGATGACTTGTATACCTATTTCATTATATTCAATTTAATCATTTTTTTTTTTTTTTATTTTTAATTATGAGCACCAATTTCTAAAGTAAAATAATAATAATGTAAAATATTATCTATATATATAAAATATAATTGATTATTTATATTTTTTTTATATTAGTAGTATGTATTGTGTGCCTATAACTACTTGGGAAGTTGCTTACTTTAGATACTTAAGTATAGAGTTGGTACAGCATTTTGAGCAATTCGTGTACTAGAAGAACGGTAAAAATCATTAAATTGTAAAAATTTTATGTAATTTTAAATCATTGCTCTTAATATAATGTAGGAGTTATAACTTTAATTTCTTATATATTGTGAAATGTATTAAGAATTAGAATATATTTTAATTAAGGAATTAATTGTTGTTTTTTTCATTTTTATTTGTGAAAAAAAAAAAAACCTAATAAACCTTCAAAGTAAACTGAAATGACGGAGGTATACCAAATGTCCTTATATACCAATTTTCCTTATAAATCAAAAGGTCTTTATATACCAATTTTTTTATATACCAATTTGCCGTATATACCATGTTTTTATATGCCAAATGTGCCATCCAAATATAACAAATATGCCATCACCATCTCCATCATCTCCATCATCTCCATCATCCCCCCCATCATCCCCATCATCCCATCATCATCCCATCATCTCCATCATCTCCATCATCCCCATCATCCCCATCACCCCCATCATCCCCATCCCCCCATCATCCATCATCCCATCATCATCCATCATCCCCATCATCTCCATCATCTCCATCATCATCATCCCATCATCATCCCCATCATCCCCATCATCCCCATCATCTCCCATCATCATCATCTCATCATCCATCATCATCCCCATCATCCCATCATCATCCCATCATCATCCCCATCCATCATCCCCATCATCCCCATCACCCCCATCATCTCCATCATCATCCATCATCCCCATCATCATCCCCCATCATCCCATCATCCCCATCATCCCCATCATCCCCATCACCCCCATCATCCCCATCATCTCCCCATCATCTCCATCATCTCATCATCATCATCATCATCCATCATCATCCATCATTCCCATCATCCCCCATCATCCATCATCATCCCCATCATCCCCATCATCCCCATCATCCCCATCATCCCCATCATCCCCATCATCCCCATCATCATCCATCATCATCCCCATCATCCCCATCCCCATCATCCCCATCATCCCCATCATCCCCATCATCCCCATCATCCCCATCATCCCCATCATCCCCATCATCCCATCATCCCCATCATCATCCCCATCATCCCCCCATCATCCCCATCATCCCCATCATCCCCATCATCCCCATCATCTCCATCATCCCCATCATCCCCATCATCCCCATCATCCCCATCCCCATCATCCCCCATCATCCCATCATCCCATCATCTCCATCATCCCCATCATCCCCATCATCCCCATCAGCCCCTTCATCCCCATCACCCCCATCATCTCCATCATCATCCATCATCCCATCATCCCCATCATCCCCATCATCCCCATCATCCCCCATCATCCCCATCATCCCCATCATCCCCATCATCCCCATCATCTCATCCATCATCCCATCACCCCCATCATCATCATCATCTCCATCACCCCCATCATCCCCATCATCTCCATCATCCCCATCATCCCCATCATCCCCATCATCCCCATCATCTCATCATCATCATCATCATCCCCATCATCCCCATCATCTCCATCATCCCCATCATCCCCATTTCATCCATCATCCCCATCACCCCCATCATCCCCATCATCCCCATCATCTCCATCATCCCCATCATCCCATCATCCCCCCTTCATCCCCCATCATCCCCATCATCCCCATCATCCCCATCATCCCCCATCATCATCCCCATCATCCATCATCCATCATCATCCCCATCATCTCCATCATCCCATCATCCCCATCACCCCCCATCATCCCCATCATCCCATCATCCCATCATCCCCATCATCCCATCATCCCCATCATCCCCATCATCCCCATCATCCCCCATCATCATCCCCATCCCCCACATCATCCCCATCATCCCCATCCCCATCATCCCCATCATCCCCATCATCCCCATCATCATCCATCATCCCATCATCCATCATCTCCATCACCCCATCATGCCCATCAGCCCCATCATCCCCATCACCCCCATCATCTCCATCATCCCCATCACACCAATCATTTCCATCATCTCCATCACCCCCTTCATCCCCATCACCCTCTTCATCCCCATCACCCCTATCATCCCTTATCAGTTTTTTTCGGGTTATTAATACTTAATAGTGACTTCCGGCAGAAAAGTAATTTTTACTGATTTAAACACTGTCATTCTTATATTACATAAAAAACAATAAACGTTTTTTTTTTGGTTTGTAGTTATCCAGTGAAATTATAATCTCTGCATATTTAGAACACTTTGTGTTTGTTTTACCTATGTCAAGAAGTGACACAAGTAGTTATATTGCGATACTGTTTGTAGGCACTTTTCTTTATTTAGATACAAAAGGTAATAAAGACCGCACATTATAAATCGATCAAATCTATATACCATGTAAGTATATAAAAATGTTAAGATGACTTGTATACCTATTTCATTATATTCAATTTAATCATTTTTTTTTTTTAATTTTTAATTATGAGCACCAATTTCTAAAGTAAAATAATAATAATGTAAAAATATTATCTATATATATAAAATATAATTGATTATTTTTTTTTTTTTTATATTAGTAGTATGTATTGTGTGCCTATAACTACTTGGGAAGTTGCTTACTTTAGATACTTAAGTATAGAGTTGGTACAGCATTTTGAGCAATTCGTGTACTAGAAGAACGGTAAAAATCATTAAATTGTAAAAATTTTATGTAATTTTAAATCATTGCTCTTAATATAATGTAGGAGTTATAACTTTAATTTCTTATATATTGTGAAATGTATTAAGAATTAGAATATATTTTAATTAAGGAATTAATTGTTGTTTTTTCATTTTTATTTGTTGAAAAAAAAAAAAACCTAATAAACCTTCAAAGTAAACTGAAATGACGGAGGTATACCAAATGTCCTTATATACCAATTTTCCTTATAAATCAAAGGTCTTTATATACCAATTTTCCTTATATACCAATTTTCCCTATATACCATGTTTTTATATGCCAAATGTGCCATCCAAATATAACAAATATGCCATTACCATCACCATCTCCATCATCTCCATCATCCCCATCATCCCCATCATCCCCATCATCCCCATCATCCCCATCATCATCCATCATCTCCATCATCCCCATCATCCCCATCATCCCCATTCCCTCATCCCCCATCATCCCCATCATCCCCATCATCCCCCCATCATCCCCATCATCCCCATCATCCATCATCTCCATCATCTCCATCATCCCCATCATCCCATCATCCCCCATCATCCATCATCCCATCATCCCATCACCCCCATCCCCATCATCCATCCCCCATCATCATCATCTCCATCATCCCCATCATCCCATCATCCCCATCATCCATCCATCATCCCCATCATCCCATCCCCATCATCCCCATCATCATCATCATCATCCCCATCATCTCCCCCATCATCCCCATCATCCATCATCCCATCATCATCATCCATCATCCTCCATCATCCCCATCATCCCCATCCCCCCATCATCCCCATCATCCCCATCCCCCCATCATCATCCCCATCATCCCCATCTCCATCCCCATCATCCCCATCATCCCCATCATCCCCATCATCCCCATCATCCCCATCATCCCCCATCATCTCCATCATCCCATCATCATCATCCCCATCATCATCATCCCCATCATCTCCATCATCCCCATCCCCATCATCATCCCATCATCCCATCATCCCCATCATCATCCCCATCATCCCCATCATCATCCCATCATCATCATCCCCATCATCCCCATCACCCCCCATCACACCCATCATCCCCATCATCCCCCATCCCCCATCACCCCCATCATCCCATCACCCCCATCATCCCCATCATCCCCATCATCCCCATCATCCATCATCCTCCATCATCCCCATTACATCCCATCATCCCCATCACCCCATTCATCCATCCCCATCATCCCCATCATCTCCATCATCCCATCCATCATCTCCCCATCATCCCATCATCCCCATCATCCCCATCATCATCATCCATCATCATCCCATCATCCCCATCATCCCCATCACCCCCATCATCTCCCATCATCCCCATCATCACCCATCATCCCCATCATCCCATCATCCCCATCATCATTTCCATCATCTCCATCACCCCCTTCATCCCCATCACCCTCTTCATCCCCATCACCCCTATCATCCCTTATCAGTTTTTTTTCGGGTTATTAATACTTAATAGTGACTTCCGGCAGAAAAGTAATTTTTACTGATTTAAACACTGTCATTCTTATATTACATAAAAAACAATAAACGACTTTTTTTTGGTTTGTAGTTATCCAGTGAAATTATAATCTCTGCATATTTAGAACACTTTGTGTTTGTTTTACCTATGTCAAGAAGTGACACAAGTAGTTATATTGCGATACTGTTTGTAGGCACTTTTCTTTATTTAGATAAAAAAGGTAATAAAGACCGCACATTATAAATCGATCAAATCTATATACCATGTAAGTATATAAAAATGTTAAGATGACTTGTATACCTATTTCATTATATTCAATTTAATCATTTTTTTTTTAATTTTTAATTATGAGCACCAATTTCTAAAGTAAAATAATAATAATGTAAAATATTATCTATATATATAAAATATAATTGATTATTTATATTTTTTTTTTATATTAGTAGTATGTATTGTGTGCCTATAACTACTTGGGAAGTTGCTTACTTTAGATACTTAAGTATAGAGTTGGTACAGCATTTTGAGCAATTCGTGTACTAGAAGAACGGTAAAAATCATTAAATTGTAAAAATTTTATGTAATTTTAAATCATTGCTCTTAATATAATGTAGGAGTTATAACTTTAATTTCTTATATATTGTGAAATGTATTAAGAATTAGAATATATTTTAATTAAGGAATTAATTGTTGTTTTTTCATTTTTATTTGTGAAAAAAAAAAAAAAACCTAATAAACCTTCAAAGTAAACTGAAATGACGGAGGTATACCAAATGTCCTTATATACCAATTTTCCTTATAAATCAAAGGTCTTTATATACCAATTTTCCTTATATACCAATTTTCCCTATATACCATTTTCTTATATGCCAAATGTGCCATCCAAATATAACAAATATGCCATTACCGTCACCATCTCCATCATCTCCATCATCCCCATCACCCCCATCATCCCCATCATCCCCAATCATCCCATCATCCTCCATCATCCCCATCATCCCATCATCCCATCACCCCCATCATCCCCATCATCCCCATCATCCCCATCATCTCCATCATCATCATCATCCCCATCATCCCCATCATCATCCATCATCCCATCATCCCCATCATCCATCATCTCCATCATCCCCATCATCCCCATCATCCCCCCCATCATCCCCATCCCCATCATCATCATCCCATCATCATCCATCATCCCCATCACCCATCATCCCCATAATCTCCATCATCTCATCACATCCATCATCCTCATCATCCCCACATCATTCCCATCATCCCCATCATCATCATCTCCATCACCCCCATCATCCCCATCAACCCCATCATCCCCATCACAATCATCATCCATCTTCTCCAACATCCACATCATCCCATCATCCCCTTCATCGCCATCACCCCCATCATCCCCATCATCCCCATCCCCATCATCTCCATCAACTCCATCATCTCCATGAGCACCTTCATCCCCATCATCCCCCATCATCCCCATCATCTCCATCATCTCCATCATCCCCATCATCTCCATCATCCCCATCATCCCCATCATCTCCATCATCTCCATCTCCATCATCATCATCCCCCATCATCATCCATCATCTCCATCATCCCCCATCATCCCATCACCCCCATAACCCCCTTCATCCCCATCATCATCCCTCATCATCTCCATCATCTCCATCATCCCATCATCATCCATCCATCCCCATCATCCCCATCACCCCCATCATCCATCATCCCCATCCCCATCACCCCCATCATCTCCATCATCCCCATCACCCCCATCATCTCCATCATCCCATCATCCCCATCATCCCCATCCCCGAATCCCCATCATCTCCATTATCTCCATCACCCTCTCATCCCCCATCACCCCCATCATCTCCATCATATCCATCATCCCCATCATCTCCATCATCTCCATCACCCTCTCAATCCATCATCATCACCCCCATCATCTCCATCATCCCCATCATCCCCATCATCCCCATCATCTCCATCATCCTCCATCATCCCATCATCATCCCCATCATCTCCATCATCCACATCATCCCCCATCATCATCCCCATCATCTCCATCACACCCATCATCGTCATCATCTCCATCATCTCCATCATCCACATCATCCACATCATCCCCCCATCACCGCATCATCCCCATCACCCCCATCATCCCCATCACCCCCATCATCCCCATCATCCCCATCCATCATCTCCATCCCCATCATCCCCATCATCCCCATTCACCCAACATCCTCATCAGACACATCATCCCCTCATCATCAAACCCCATCACCCCCATCACCCCCATCATCCACATCTCCTCCATCATCCCCATCATCCCCATCATCCCCATCATCATCCATCATCCCCATCATCTCCATCATCCCCATCATCCCCATCACCCCCATCACCCCCTTCATCCCCATCAACCCCATCATCCCATCATCCCACATCCCCATCATCCCCATCATATCCATCATCTCCATCATCCCCTTCATCCCCATCACCCCCATCATCCCCATCACCGCCATCACCCCCATCATCCCCATCATCTCCATCATCTCCATCATCCCCATCACCCCCATTACCCTCTTCATCCCCATCATCCCCATCATCCATCATCCCCATCATCCCCATCATCCCCCATCATCATCCATCATCCCCATCATCCCCTTTCATCCCCATCACCCCCAACATCCCCATCACTGCCATCATCCCTCATCATCCCCATCATCTCCATCATCTCCATCATCCCCATCATCGTCCCCATAATCACCCCCATCACCCATCATCTCCCATCATCCCCTCCATCATCTCCCCATCACCCCCTTCATCCCCCATCATCCCATCATCCCCATCATCACCCATCACCCTCTTCATCCCCATCACCCCCAACATCCCCATCAACCCCATCATCCCCATCATCCCCATGCACCCCCCCATCATCATCTCCCATCATCTCCATCATCCCCATCACACCCATCATCCCCATCATCCCCAATCATCTCCATCATCTCCATCAGCCCCATCATCCCCATCACCCCCATCATCCCCATCATCTCCATCATTCCCATCATCCCCATCACCCCCATCATCTCCATCACCCCCATCATCCCTATTATCCCTCATCATCCATATCATCCCTATCATCTCCATCATCCCCTATCATCTCCATCATCTCCATCATCTCTCCATCATCCCCATCATCCCCATCATCCCCATCATCTCCATCATCTCTATCACCCCCTTCACCCCCCATCACCCCAATCATCCCATCCCATCATCTCCATCATCTCACCCCCATCACCCTCTTCATCCCCATCACCCCCATCAACTCCATCATCTCCATCAGCCCCTTCATCCCCATCACCCCTATCATCTCCATCATCTCCATCATCATCATCATCCCCATCAAATCCATTATCTCCATCATCTCCATAATCCCCATTACAACCATCATCCCCATCACCCCCTTCATCACCATCATCTCCATCATCCCCATCAGCCCTATCACCCCCTTCATTCCCATCATCTCCATCATCCCCATCACCCCCTTCATCTTCATCATCTCCATCATCCACATCATCCACATCATCCCCATCGTCTCCATCATCTCCATCACCCCCCCCTCATCCCCATCATCCTCCATCATCCCCATCATATCCATCATCCCCATCATCCCCATCATCCCCATCACCCCCTTCATCCCCATCATCTCCATCATCCCCATCACACCAATCATTTCCATCATCTCCATCACCCCCTTCATCCCCATCACCCTCTTCATCCCCATCACCCCTATCATCCCTTATCAGTTTTTTTTCGGGTTATTAATACTTAATAGTTACTTCCGGCAGAAAAGTAATTTATACTGATTTAAACACTGTCATTCTTATATTACATAAAAAACAATAAACGACTTTTTTTTGGTTTGTAGTTATCCAGTGAAATTATAATCTCTGCATATTTAGAACACTTTGTGTTTGTTTTGCCTATGTCAAGAAGTGACACAAGTAGTTATATTGCGATACTGTTTGTAGGCACTTTTCTTTATTTAGATCAGAAAGGTAATAAAGACCGCACATTATAAATCGATCAAATCTATATACCATGTAAGTATATAAAAATGTTAAGATGACTTGTATACCTATTTCATTATATTCAATTTAATCATTTTTTTTAAATTTTTAATTATGAGCACCAATTTCTAAAGTAAAATAATAATAATGTAAAATATTATCTATACAGTATGTATTACAGCAAATGGCGTTCCCTTGAACACGTTAATATATATCACTAATAGATTAAAATTAATATATCAGCATAGAAAAATAAGCACAAAATAATCTAAATAAAAAAATAATAATTTATTCACAATAATTTCGAAACCTCCTATATGTATGTGGCGCGGAATAGAACGTATGTATCTAGCGTAGTAGCATTGCCGAAAGTGGCAACGTCGCAATACGCACGATGCCGAGCGGCGCCTTTTGTAGTGGCGGCATATTGAATTATAAAGACACGTAGTCGGATTGTTAACAGTAAAAATAAACATTTTAAATGTATGTTTAGTTTTAGAAATAACACTTAACCCGTCTCAAATGTATTGCTGACTAAGGAACGTGTCACTGAGGTACCTATTCGCAAACAGTAAATAAAAAAAAACAAATTCAACCATCATATCTAAGCCACGTTTCAATAACATTACAATAATAATACAGAGAATTAGACAGAATTTGCACGCAACGGCCGAGTAATGAACGCGGGGCGGTGGGGCGGTAGCGCCTTTGAGTTCTGCCGACACGTCGCCGTCATGTCGCCGCCCGCTCGTTGTTACAAAATAAACAAATGAGTCGTATAGGATCAAAGGCGGCAATCTACGCTTAGACTGAAATCAGAGAATTGAAAATTTTCGGTTTGTGTCGTCCGTTTCAAAAATGATATTACGTAACTTTATTTTAAGTGATGTAAGTATTGATGCGCTTAATATTAAACTCTCATTGTGTACTATAAAAATAACAAATTGAAGAAATTTACAGGCTTAGAATGTACATCCATGATTCAATTTATACATTTATTTTATAACAGTAATCACAATAAATAAAATAATTCAATAAAAACACGGACACAAATTCGTTAGAAACTTCATACAGACGTCATTAGATCACGTGACCACACGGACGCTTGTGATTGGTGGAATGAGTTAGAATGCCGGGTTTGATTCTTATGCTGTTGAAGATTGCCGGATTTGATGCTAAACCTGATTTTCAAAAGGGATTTCACTCCGAGATAGTCGTTTTTGTTATAAAGTAAATTAAGTACGTAACGTTATTTTAAATTTCCATATAAAAATCTTTATTTTGATAAAATGTGCAGATTGCCGCCTTTGATTCTATACGACTCAAATACTAGTTAATACAGAAGGTCTACTCGCTGGGTACATGAATTTGCTTTACATATTAAGTTGGATGAAAGTTTATTTAAACCACAGTTTAGGCTAGCATTTAAATGATCATGGTGGTATTACACTATTTATTTACAGTTCACATGGAGGTATTAAGCAGTTTTAGGAAAGAGTTCTGAACTTATTAATTTTGTGGCACACTCGTTTAGTGTTATTTTTTTTATGTTCTCGAAATGTTTAAGGTATTATGATACATTTAAATAATGTTAAAACTTACCTAGATTTTGAACTGCTCGATATGCTGACCTCCTCTGTCTACACATTGTTGCAATCGCCGACGGTTATTTTCGTGCACTTTTTGAAGTGAGTACGGATGCTGCTTGTTTTTCTTTAATATTTTAAACACTACGACGTGACTCATATTGAACAGGCGGCCGGCTCTTGTGGTGCTTGAACCGGGCTCCTCCTCAAAATGCCTTAGCACGTTCTCTTCCTGTCGCACTGAAATCACGGGTCGCGGGCCACCTGAACGACGCGGCACTACCGGCTCATTATTACGCATACGCACTAGGGCACTCACAATTACATACTCCTGCGCACTGAACTGATAACGCGGCATCTTTCACACGAAAATACGTAGACGTAGTAATGCGGAAATAATAGACGTGCGATCCCGGTCAGCGGCGTGGGATTACTAAATAGTAAATACTAAAAAATAAAATTTCGCGGACGTTCGGGGGCGGGGGTCGGGTGACACTTTAAAATCGTAGATCAATCGAATGCCGCATACGCGGCCCGTCTTTTATAAGTAAGTTGCGACGTTGCCGTTCTTCAAATATGCGTGTACAGGTGTTTCTTTTACATGTAAATTTAATATTTTTAATGATTTTTTTTAAATAAAAAAAAAATAAAAAACATTTTGTTTTCGATTGGTAATATTTTTTTTAGCATGTATGGATGCTACATTATTGCGGATTAATGGGAACTTGAATCGTTAGTTGACATACTGTATATATAAAATATAATTGATTATTTATATTTTTTTTATATTAGTAGTATGTATTGTGTGCCTATAACTACTTGGGAAGTTGCTTACTTTAGATACTTAAGTATAGAGTTGGTACAGCATTTTGAGCAATTCGTGTACTAGAAGAACGGTAAAAATCATTAAATTGTAAAAATTTTATGTAATTTTAAATCATTGCTCTTAATATAATGTAGGAGTTATAACTTTAATTACTTATATATTGTGAAATGTATTAAGAATTAGAATATATTTCAATTAAGGAATTAATTGTTGTTTTTTCATTTTTATTTGTTGAAAAAAAAAAACCTAATAAACCTTCAAAGTAAACTGAAATGACGGAGGTATACCAAATGTCCTTATATACCAATTTTCCTTATAAATCAAAGGTCTTTATATACCAATTTTCCTTATATTCCAATTTTCCCTATATACCATGTTTTTATATGCCAAATGTGCCATCCAAATATAACAAATATGCCATTACCGTCACCATCTCCATCATCTCCATCATCCCCATCACCCCCCCCATCATCCCCATCACCCCAATCATCCACATCTCCTCCATCATCCCCCATCATCCACATCAACCCCATCTTCCCTACACCCCCATCATCCCAATCATCAACCCATCATCTCCATCATCCCCATCATCCATCTCCATAATCTCCATCATCCACATCATCCCCATCTCCCCATTCATGCCCATCATCACCATCATCTCCATCATCCCCATCACACCATTCATCCCCATAATCTCCATCATCTCATCACATCCATCATCCTCATCATCCACATCATTCCCCTCATCCCCATCATCATCATCTCCATCACCCCCATCATCCAAATCAACCCCGTCACCCCAATCATCCACATCTTCTCCAACATCCACATCATCCTATCATCCCCATCATCTCCATCACACCCATCATCCCCATCATCTTTATCATCTCCATCATCCACATCATCCACATCATCCCCATCATCTCCATCATCTCCATCACACCCATCATCGTCATCATCTTTATCATCTCCATCATCCACATCATCCACATCATCCCCATCACACGCTTTATCCCCATCACCCCCAACATCCACATCACCCCCATCATCCCCATCATCTCCATCATCTCCATCATCCCCATCACACCCAACATCCTCATCAGACACATCATTCCCCTCATCATAAACCCCATCATCCCCATCACCCCAATCATCCACATCTCCTCCATCATCCCCATCATCCCCATCACCCCCGTCATCCCCATCATCTCCATCATCCCCATCATCCACATCACCCCCATTACCTTCTTTATCCCCATCAACCCCATCATCCCTATCATCCCCATCACCCCCATCATATCCATCATCTCCATCATCCCCTTTATCCCCATCACCCCCAACATCCCCATCACCGCCATCACCCCCATTATCCCTATCATCTCCATCATCTCCATCATCCACATCACCCCCATTACCCTCTTTATCCCCATCAACCCCATCATCCCTATCATCCCCATCACCCGCATCATATCCATCATCCCTATCATCCCCTTTATCCCCATCACCCCCAACATCCCCATCACTGCCATCACCCTCATTATCCCTATCATCTCCATCATCTCCATTATCCCCATCGTCCCCATAATCAACATCACCCCCATCATCTCCATCATCTCCATCACCCCCTTCACCCCCATCACCCCAATCATCCCCATCATCTCCACCACCCTCTTCATCCCCATCACCCCCAACATCCCCATCAACCCCATCATCCCCATCTTCCCCATGCACCCCATCATCCTCATCATCTCCATCATCCCCATCACACCCATAATCCCCATTCACCCCAATCATCTCCATCATCTCCATCAGCCCCTTCATCCCCATAACCCCCATCATCCCCATCATCTCCATCATTCTCTTTATCCCCATCACCCCCATCATCTCCTTCACCCCCTTCATCCCTATTAACCTCATCATCCATATCATCCCTATCATCTCCATCACCCCTATCATCTCCATCATCTCCATCAACTCCATCATCCCCATAATCCCCATCATCCCCATCATCTCCATCATCTCTATCACCCCCTTCACCCCCATCACCCCAATCATCCCCATCATCTCCATCATCTCCATCACCCTCTTCATGCCCATCACCCCCAACAACTCCATCATCTCCATCAGCCCCTTCATCCCCATCACCCCTATCATCTCCATCATCTCCATCATCATCATCATCCCCATCAAATCCATTATCTCCATCATCTCCATAATCCCCATTACAACCATCATCCCCATCACCCCCTTCATCACCATCATCTCCATCATCCCCATCAGCCCTATCACCCCCTTCATTCCCATCATCTCCATCATCCCCATCACCCCCTTCATCTTCATCATCTCCATCATCCACATCATCCACATCATCCCCATCGTCTCCATCATCCACATCACCCCCCTCATCCCCATCATCTCCATCACACCCATCATATCCATCATCCCCATCATCCCCATCATCCCCATCACCCCCTTCATCCCCATCATCTCCATCATCCCCATCACACCAATCATTTCCATCATCTCCATCACCCCCTTCATCCCCATCACCCTCTTCATCCCCATCACCCCTATCATCCCTTATCAGTTTTTTTTCGGGTTATTAATACTTAATAGTTACTAATTAGTTAATAGATTTAAACACTGTCATTCTTATATTACATAAAAAACAATAAACGACTTTTTTTTGGTTTGTAGTTATCCAGTGAAATTATAATCTCTGCATATTTAGAACACTTTGTGTTTGTTTTGCCTATGTCAAGAAGTGACACAAGTAGTTATATTGCGATACTGTTTGTAGGCACTTTTCTTTATTTAGATCAGAAAGGTAATAAAGACCGCACATTATAAATCGATCAAATCTATATACCATGTAAGTATATAAAAATGTTAAGATGACTTGTATACCTATTTCATTATATTCAATTTAATCATTTTTTTTAAATTTTTAATTATGAGCACCAATTTCTAAAGTAAAATAATAATAATGTAAAATATTATCTATATATATAAAATATAATTGATTATTTATATTTTTTTTATATTAATAGTATGTATTGTGTGCCTATAACTACTTGGGAAGTTGCTTACTTTAGATACTTAAGTATAGAGTTGGTACAGCATTTTGAGCAATTCGTGTTCTAGAAGAACCGGTAAAAATCATTAAATTGTAAAAATTTTATGTAATTTTAAATCATTGCTCTTAATATAATGTAGGAGTTATAACTTTAATTTCTTATATATTGTGAAATGTATTAAGAATTAGAATATATTTTAATTAAGGAATTAATTGTTGTTTTTTCATTTTTATTTGTTGAAAAAAAAAAACCTAATAAACCTTCAAAGTAAACTGAAATGACGGAGGTATACCAAATGTCCTTATATACCAATTTTCCTTATAAATCAAAGGTCTTTATATACCAATTTTCCTTATATTCCAATTTTCCCTATATACCATGTTTTTATATGCCAAATGTGCCATCCAAATATAACAAATATGCCATTACCGTCACCATCTCCATCATCTCCATCATCCCCATCACCCCCATCATCCCCATCACCCCAATCATCCACATCTCCTCCATCATCCCCATCATCCACATCAACCCCATCTTCCCTACACCCCCATCATCCCAATCATCTCCATCATCTCCATCATCCCCATCATCTCCATAATCTCCATCATCCACATCATCCCCATCTCCCCATTCATGCCCATCATCACCATCATCTCCATCATCCCCATCACACCATTCATCCCCATAATCTCCATCATCTCATCACATCCATCATCCTCATCATCCACATCATTCCCCTCATCCCAATCATCATCATCTCCATCACCCCCATCATCCAAATCAACCCCGTCACCCCAATCATCCACATCTTCTCCAACATCCACATCATCCTATCATCCCCATCATCTCCATCACACCCATCATCCCCATCATCTTTATCATCTCCATCATCCACATCATCCACATCATCCCCATCATCTCCATCATCCCCAACACACCCATCATCCCCATCACCCCCGTCATCCCTATCATCTCCATCATCCCCATTACCCCCTTCATCCCCATCATCTCTATCATCTCCATCATCTCCATCATCTCCATCACCTCCATCATTCCCATCACCCCCATCAACCCCGTCATCACCATCATCTCCATCACCCCTTTCATCCCCATCACCCCCATCATCCCTATCATCTCCATCATCTCCATCATCCCCATAATCCCCATCACCCCATCATCCCTATCATCTCCATCATCCCCATAATCCCCATCATCTCCATGAGCTTCTTCATCCCCACCACCCCCATCATCACCATCATCTCCATCATCCCACTCATCCCCATCATCCACATCACCCCCATAACCCTCTTTATCACCATCAACCCCATCACCCCTATCATCTCCATCATCTCCATCATATCCATCATCCCCATCATCCCCTTTATCCCCATCACCCCCAACATCCCCATCACCGCCATCATCCCCATCATCCCTATCATCTCCATCATCCCCATCACACCCATCATCTCCTTCAACCCCTTCATCGCCATCACCCCCATCATCCCCATCATCCCTATCATCTCCATCAACTCCATCATCTCCATGAGCACCTTCATCCCCATCACCCCCATCATCTCCATCATCTCCATCATCTCCATCATCCCTATCATCTCCATCAACTCCATCATCTCCATGAGCATCATCACCCCCATCATCTCTATCATCTCCATCATCCCCATCATCCACATCACCCCCATAACCCTCTTTATCCCCATCATCCCCATCATCTCCATCATCTCCATCATCTCCATCATCCCTATCATCTCCATCAACTCCATCATCTCCATGAGCATCATCACCCCCATCATCTCCATCATCTCCATCATCCCCATCATCCACATCACCCCCATAACCCTCTTTATCCCCATCATCCCCATCATCCCTATCATCTCCATCATCTCCATCATCTGCATCATCTCCATGAGCCCCTTCATCCCCATCACCCCCATCATCCCCATAATCCCCATCACCCCCATCATCTCCATCAGCCCCTTCATCCCCATCAGCCCCATCATCTCCATCAGCCCCTTCATCCCCATTACCCCCTTCATCCCCATCATCTCTATCATCTCCATCATCTCCATCATCTCCATCATCTCCATCACCTCCATCATCCCCATCACCCCCATCAACCCCGTCATCACCATCATCTCCTTCACCCCTTTCATCCCCATCACCCCCATCATCCCTATCATCTCCATCATCCCCATAATCCCCATCATCTCCATGAGCTTCTTCATCCCCATCATCCACATCACCCCCATAACCCTCTTTATCACCATCAACCCCATCACCCCTATCATCTCCATCATCTCCATCATATCCATCATCCCCATCATCCCCTTTATCCCCATCACCCCCAACATCCCCATCACCGCCATCATCCCCATCATCCCTATCATCTCCATCATCCCCATCACACCCATCATCTCCTTCAACCCCTTCATCGCCATCACCCCCATCATCCCCATCATCCCTATCATCTCCATCAACTCCATCATCTCCATGAGCACCTTCATCCCCATCACCCCCATCATCTCCATCATCTCCATCATCTCCATCATCCCTATCATCTCCATCAACTCCATCATCTCCATGAGCATCATCACCCCCATCATCTCCATCATCCCCATCATCCACATCTACCCCATAACCCTCTTTATCCCCATCATCCCCATCATCCCTATCATCTCCATCATCTCCATCATCTGCATCATCTCCATGAGCCCCTTCATCCCCATCACCCCCATCATCCCCATAATCCCCATCACCCCCATCATCTCCATCAGCCCCTTCATCCCCATCAGCCCCATCATCTCCATCAGTCCCTTCATCCCCATCACCCCCATCATCCCCATCATCTCCATCATCTCCATCATTCTCTTAATCCCCATCACCTCCATCACCCCCTTCATCCACGTCATCCCCATCAACTCCATCATCTCCATCATCTCCATCACCCCCATCATCCCCCTCACCCCCATCATTCCCGTCATCTCCATCATCTCCATCAGCCCCATCATCTCCATCAGCCCCTTCATCCCCATCACCCCCATCATCCCTATCATCTCCATCATCCCCATAATCCCCATCATCTCCATGAGCTTCTTCATCCCCACCACCCCCATCATCACCATCATCTCCATCATCCCACTCATCCCCATCATCCACATCACCCCCATAACCCTCTTTATCACCATCAACCCCATCACCCCTATCATCTCCATCATCTCCATCATATCCATCATCTCCATCAGTCCCTTCATCCCCATCACCCCCATCATCCCCATCATCTCCATCATCTCCATCATTCTCTTAATCCCCATCACCTCCATCACCCCCTTCATCCACGTCATCCCCATCACCTCCATCATCTCCATCATCTCCATCAGCCCCATCATCTCCATCATCCACATCTACCCCATAACCCTCTTTATCCCCATCATCCCCATCATCCCTATCATCTCCATCATCTCCATCATCTGCATCATCTCCATGAGCCCCTTCATCCCCATCACCCCCATCATCCCCATAATCCCCATCACCCCCATCATCTCCATCAGCCCCTTCATCCCCATCAGCCCCATCATCTCCATCAGTCCCTTCATCCCCATCACCCCCATCATCCCCATCATCTCCATCATCTCCATCATTCTCTTAATCCCCATCACCTCCATCACCCCCTTCATCCACGTCATCCCCATCATCTCCATCATCTCCATCATCTCCATCATCTCCATCATCTCCATCATCCCTATCATCTCCATCAACTCCATCATCTCCATGAGCATCATCACCCCCATCATCTCCATCATCTCCATCATCCCCATCATCCACATCACCCCCATAACCCTCTTTATCCCCATCATCCCTATCATCTCCATCATCTCCATCATCTGCATCATCTCCATGAGCCCCTTCATCCCCATCACCCCCATCATCCCCATAATCCCCATCACCCCCATCATCTCCATCATCCCACTCATCCCCATCATCCACATCACCCCCATAACCCTCTTTATCACCATCAACCCCATCACCCCTATCATCTCCATCATCTCCATCATATCCATCATCCCCATCATCCCCTTTATCCCCATCACCCCCAACATCCCCATCACCGCCATCATCCCCATCACCGCCATCATCCCCATCATCCCTATCATCTCCATCATCCCCATCACACCCATCATCTCCTTCAACCCCTTCATCGCCATCACCCCCATCATCCCCATCATCCCTATCATCTCCATCAACTCCATCATCTCCATGAGCACCTTCATCCCCATCACCCCCATCATCTCCATCATCTCCATCATCTCCATCATCTGCATCATCTCCATGAGCCCCTTCATCCCCATCACCCCCATCATCCCCATAATCCCCATCACCCCCATCATCTCCATCATCCCCATCACCCCCATCATCTCCATCATCCCCCTCACCCCCATCATCCCCGAATCCCCATGATCTCCATTATCTCCATCACCCTCTCAATCCTCATCACCCCCATCATCTCCATCATCCCCATCACCCCCATCATCTTCATCATCTCCATCATCCACATCATCCACATCATCCCCATCATCTCCATCACACCCATCATACCCATCATCTTTATCATCTCCATCATCCACATCATCCACATCATCCCCATCATCTCCATCATCCCCATCACACCCATCATCGCCATCATCCCCATTACCCCCATCATCCCCATTATCTCCATCATCTCCATCACCCCCATCATCCCCCTCACCCCCATCAACCCCGTCATCTCCATCATCTCCATCAGCCCCTTCATCCCCATCACCCCCATCATCTCCATCATCTCCATCAGCCCCTTCATCCCCATCACCCCCATCATCCCCATCATCTTTATCATCTTTATCATCTCCATCATCCACATCATCCACATCATCCCCATCATCTCCATCATCCCCAACACACCCATCATCCCCATAACCCCCATCATCCCCATCATCTTTATCATCTCCATCATCCACATCATCCACATCATCCCCATCATCTCCATCATCCCCATCATCCCCATCACACCCATCATCGCCATCATCCCCATTACCCCGTTCATCCCCATTATCTCCATCAGCCCCATCATCTCCATCAGCCCCTTCATCCCCATTACCCCCTTCATCCCCATCATCTCTATCATCTCCATCATCTCCATCATCTCCATCATCTCCATCACCTCCATCATCCCCATCACCCCCATCAACCCCGTCATCACCATCATCTCCTTCACCCCTTTCATCCCCATCACCCCCATCATCCCCATCATCTCCATCATCCCCATAATCCCCATCATCTCCATGAGCTTCTTCATCCCCATTACCCCCATCATCACCATCATCTCCATCATCCCACTCATCCCCATCATCCACATCACCCCCATAACCCTCTTTATCACCATCAACCCCATCACCCCTATCATCTCCATCATCTCCATCATATCCATCATCCCCATCATCCCCTTTATCCCCATCACCCCCATCATCTCCATCATCCCCATCACCCCCATCATCTCCATCATCCCCCTCACCCCCATCATCCCCGAATCCCCATGATCTCCATTATCTCCATCACCCTCTCAATCTTCATCACCCCCATCATCTCCATCATCCCCATCACCCCCATCATCTTCATCATCTCCATCATCCACATCATCCACATCATCCCCATCATCTCCATCACACCCATCATACCCATCATCTTTATCATCTCCATCATCCACATCATCCACATCATCCCCATCATCTCCATCATCCCCATCACACCCATCATCGCCATCATCCCCATTACCCCCATCATCCCCATTATCTCCATCATCTCCATCACCCCCATCATCCCCCTCACCCCCATCAACCCCGTCATCTCCATCATCTCCATCAGCCCCTTCATCCCCATCACCCCCATCATCTCCATCATCTCCATCAGCCCCTTCATCCCCATCACCCCCATCATCCCCATCATCTTTATCATCTTTATCATCTCCATCATCCACATCATCCACATCATCCCCATCATCTCCATCATCCCCAACACACCCATCATCCCCATAACCCCCATCATCCCCATCATCTTTATCATCTCCATCATCCACATCATCCACATCATCCCCATCATCTCCATCATCCCCATCATCCCCATCACACCCATCATCGCCATCATCCCCATTACCCCCTTCATCCCCATTATCTCCATCAGCCCCATCATCTCCATCAGCCCCTTCATCCCCATTACCCCCTTCATCCCCATCATCTCTATCATCTCCATCATCTCCATCATCTCCATCATCTCCATCACCTCCATCATCCCCATCACCCCCATCAACCCCGTCATCACCATCATCTCCTTCACCCCTTTCATCCCCATCACCCCCATCATCCCCATCATCTCCATCATCTCCATCATCCCACTCATCCCCATCATCCACATCACCCCCATAACCCTCTTTATCACCATCAACCCCATCACCCCTATCATCTCCATCATCTCCATCATATCCATCATCCCCATCATCCCCTTTATCCCCATCACCCCCAACATCCCCATCACCGCCATCATCCCCATCATCCCTATCATCTCCATCACCCCCATCACACCCATCATCTCCTTCAACCCCTTCATCGCCATCACCCCCATCATCCCCATCATCCCTATCATCTCCATCAACTCCATCATCTCCATGAGCACCTTCATACCCATCACCCCCATCATCTCCATCATCTCCATCATCTCCATCATCTCCATCATCTCCATCATCCCTATCATCTCCATCAACTCCATCATCTCCATGAGCATCATCACCCCCATCATCTCCATCATCTCCATCATCCCCATCATCCACATCTACCCCATAACCCTCTTTATCCCCATCATCCCCATCATCCCTATCATCTCCATCACCCCCATCATCCCCATCATCTCCATCATTCTCTTAATCCCCATCACCTCCATCACCCCCTTCATCCACGTCATCCCCATCACCTCCATCATCTCCATCATCTCCATCACCCCCATCATCCCCCTCACCCCCATCATTCCCGTCATCTCCATCATCTCCATCAGCCCCATCATCTCCATCAGCCCCTTCATCCCCATCACCCCCATCATCCCTATCATCTCCATCATCCCCATAATCCCCATCATCTCCATGAGCTTCTTCATCCCCACCACCCCCATCATCACCATCATCTCCATCATCCCACTCATCCCCATCATCCACATCACCCCCATAACCCTCTTTATCACCATCAACCCCATCACCCCTATCATCTCCATCATCTCCATCATATCCATCATCCCCATCATCCCCTTTATCCCCATCACCCCCAACATCCCCATCACCGCCATCATCCCCATCATCCCTATCATCTCCATCATCCCCATCACACCCATCATCTCCTTCAACCCCTTCATCGCCATCACCCCCATCATCCCCATCATCCCTATCATCTCCATCAACTCCATCATCTCCATGAGCACCTTCATCCCCATCACCCCCATCATCTCCATCATCTCCATCATCCCTATCATCTCCATCAACTCCATCATCTCCATGAGCATCATCACCCCAATCATCTCCATCATCTCCATGAGCCCCTTCATCCCCATCACCCCCATCATCCCCATAATCCCCATCACCCCCATCATCTCCATCATCCCCATCACCCCCATCATCTCCATCATCCCCCTCACCCCCATCATCCCCGAATCCCCATGATCTCCATTATCTCCATCACCCTCTCAATCCTCATCACCCCCATCATCTCCATCATCCCCATCACCCCCATCATCTTCATCATCTCCATCATCCACATCATCCACATCATCCCCATCATCTCCATCACACCCATCATACCCATCATCTTTATCATCTCCATCATCCACATCATCCACATCATCCCCATCATCTCCATCATCCCCATCACACCCATCATCGCCATCATCCCCATTACCCCCATCATCCCCATTATCTCCATCATCTCCATCACCCCCATCATCCCCCTCACCCCCATCAACCCCGTCATCTCCATCATCTCCATCAGCCCCTTCATCCCCATCACCCCCATCATCTCCATCATCTCCATCAGCCCCTTCATCCCCATCACCCCCATCATCCCCATCATCTTTATCATCTTTATCATCTCCATCATCCACATCATCCACATCATCCCCATCATCTCCATCATCCCCAACACACCCATCATCCCCATAACCCCCATCATCCCCATCATCTTTATCATCTCCATCATCCACATCATCCACATCATCCCCATCATCTCCATCATCCCCATCATCCCCATCACACCCATCATCGCCATCATCCCCATTACCCCCTTCATCCCCATTATCTCCATCATCTCCATCATCTCCATCACCCCCACAATCCCCATCACCCCCATCATCCCCATCATCTCCATCATCTCCATCATTCTCTTAATCCCCATCACCTCCATCACCCCCTTCATCCACGTCATCCCCATCACCTCCATCATCTCCATCATCTCCATCACCCCCATCATCCCCCTCACCCCCATCATTCCCGTCATCTCCATCATCTCCATCAGCCCCTTCATCCCCATCAGCCCCATCATCTCCATCAGCCCCTTCATCCCCATCACCCCCATCATCCCCATCATCTCCATCATCTCCATCATTCTCTTAATCCCCATCACCCCCATCACCCCCTTCATCCACGTCATCCCCATCACCTCCATCATCTCCATCACTCCCTTCATCCCCATCACCCCCATCATCCCCATCATCCCCATTAACCCCATCACCCCCATCATCCCCATCATCCCCATCAACCCCATCATCCTCATCACCCCCATCATCTCCATCAGCCCCTTCATCCCCATCACCCCCATCATCCCCATTATCTCCATCATTCTCTTAATCCCCATCACCCCCATCATCTCCATCATCCCCATCACCCCCATCATCCCCATCACCCCCTTCATCCACGTCATCCCCATCACCTCCATCATCTCCATCACTCCCTTCATCCCCATCACCCCTATCATCCCCATCATTCCCATCAACCCCATCTGTCAAAAAAAAGAGAAATGTCTTCGTTTTTTTTTAGATTATTTTAAAATTGAATGTCTTGTTCATAGTTCTGTGCCTCTCCCCTTATTACATGTTTGAAAAGATATACGGCGGAAGGAACGTTTCAAGATTTTCATAAAAATCATAAAAAATATCAACTTTACACATTTGTTCAAATTATGTGTGCTACAATATTCGTTTGAGTCAGATAGAAATATTTTTATGAGTGTGTGAGGGCAACAGAAAGTAAGAATATAACCTTAACAGTTTTATTGTGAAAATATGACAACACCCGATCTTAATGTAAACGTTAGTAGAGACAAAGACATCCTGCTCCCTCAGCACCATTATGAATAAATAAACTGTTTAATAGGAATTAGATTACGATAATTAATATATAATAAAACAACGTGTGTCAACTGAAGATCGACAGAAGAATGATTTATTGAACATAGACAAATACAATAACGCTTATTGACATGATTGCCACAAGATGGCTAGTAGTATCCATATTTTGATATCCACAACACTTCCCATTAAAATATGATCTATTTTAAACTATATAAATACTTAACATGAACTTAAAGTTAAAATATATTACACTCTAACAATTCCTAAAGCATTTACATGTTTATAATGTTTTACAACACTTAAGCTTTTGGTAAATAAATCTGCAGGCATATCAGATATACACAAATAATTAATACTAACAATGTTTTTATTTATAATATCTCAGCAATAGTGATACCTGACATCCATATGTTTAGTTTTATTATGGAATACTGGGTTCAGTTATAATTTCTGAGCACTCATACTGTCATTATACGAGTACAAAATAATACTATACATTCTACAAGTCACTTCATTTTGTAAGTTTCTCAAATACACTGCTTCTTTGCAGGCTTCTGATTTTGACACATTTTCAGCTACAGTACTAGAAAGTGAAATACATTTTTGTTTGCTACAAGTCCAGGATATAACTGATCCTGACAAAATATAACAAAACCCTGAATATGATTTACTGTCATTAACATCACTGCTCCAGTCCTTATATCATTATAACATATCTTCTACCTGGCAATTTCCCAGCTATAGCCAGGGTCTGCCTATATCATTATAATATATCTTTCCTTATAACATATCCTTCAATATTATCATTTTTATTCTTACTACATTTCAAACCAAATTTTATGTTTTCTTTAAGTATATATAATATTCTTTTAGCATAAACCCAAAGCTCTTCACTAATACAGTTATTGAATTGGATTAGGTATTAGGTAGGATCTTCAAACTGCCTATAAGTTGTTGATAAGGATTCTGATTATTTATTTATTTAGGCACACAAACAGAATATAATCCGGATTACATTTGAGTTACAGTCTAAAATTATATTTAGCTTGATTATATTCCCAAGCATGTGTACACTTCATAATCATTACAAAACCAATATTTTTGTCAGGAGCTACATTATTTAGGTACAATTTAAGACTAATGAATAAATAGGAACATATAACTTAAATTCAATTACTTAGTTGTTGATACAAAAAAAACATTAACGGACATTACAAATTAGTTTAAATTACATTCACTGAGTCAACAATAATATAAATAGGAGCAAAAGAGACAGATACAGTCAATTAAGATTGTGTAACAAGTATAATTAAAAAATAAAATAAAATTAAAGAATTAAATTAAAAAAATATAATAATAAATAAATTGTCAAAATTAAAATATAATTCAATAACAACTACATGGCAATAAACATAAGAAAAAAAAAGTCATTGGAGAGTAAATCATTGAATCGTCAATATAATAAGCCTTACCCTATTTTTAAGCCTTGTAAAATTGGGATCAAATATATCTAACATGTCACTGTGTTTTGAAAGTAAATCATTGTATGTACGGCAGAGTCTAATGATAGGGTTATAATATGATGTATTACTAATGTGAACGCTGAGGACGAAGGTATTCAAAAATGTGGATGTTGAGATCTAAATTTGATGTTAAAATGAATGAGTGATAATAAGGCAGATAGGTCGATTCTAGAATGAATTATTTTGTGCCATGCATAAAGTTCAATTCACATATGTCTTTATTTTAGTGTGAGCATATTAAAATAGTATAATTCTATCTTTTAAGAAATATTAGATTTCTCAGAAGACTAATTTTTCTTGTAAATCCAGAGTCATAAAAGCTGAAGGTATAAAAGCTGAAAAAAATTGATTCATTACTGGGGAAAACCATAAAAACAGCCCTTTTCTATTTCCCATACAAACGTTTTTTTTTTTACATTAGATTTGACAACTAATATGACAATCATTCTGTCGAACTTTAAACACGGTGATTTATGGCTTACAAGTAAACTCCAAAAATATAAATAAAAAAAACGTAATAGATATTTCTTGATTATAGGGCGATACGAAGTTCGCCAGGTCTTCTAGTATTTAATAAATATTGATTAATTAGTTTTTATTCATTCCGCGAAATGTTGCGTTTAAGGAACGTTGGAATTACTGAACTTGAATTTCACTAGCAACTCTTTTATCGTAATAGTATTATGTATTACTGTGAGTTATGTATTTTAAAACAGTCAACATGAAGATGAACTTAAAATTTTTTACTCATATAAATTTTTGTACTACTTCTATATTGTCGACGTTTATTTACATGCTGAAAAAAAGAGCGTGGGAATTGAAACGTTGACGCGGGCTTTTTGAAAGGGCAATGTCCATTTTTGGCCTAGCGTGAACAAGCTGCTATCAAAAAACAAGTTTATGAAAAAAAAATATTTTTTTAGCTAGCCATTCTATTGTTGTTGGAGTGTACATTTGTATTTTATTGAAAAAATATTTTTAAAGTATCTTCATTGATTTGCTTTATTGACCCACGTTTTGTGTTACCTGCAATATCTCGCAGTACTTAATACAACTATAAGTATTTAATAAAAAAATATAATATTTGTTTTTAATTAGTTTCGTCATTTAAAACGTTTTATAAACTGAAATATGAAGAATGTTAAACATAATCATATTTGTTTTCGATCGATTTTTTAATGATGTTTTTCTATTGCAACACTAATAAAACGAAAAAATACATATTGACATTGATATGTCACAGACTGATTGTTTACATTCGCTTTGTTTATCTACATTGAGAGTGTTGATTTATTATGGATTTTCTTTCAACGATTGTTTATTCATTATGGGCTCCGACCTATCTTTTTCCAATGACCCCTGCACATCTACGGACCCCGAATTTCGCTCAAACGATGACCCTGGCTTTTGTATTATGGACTCTGATCAAGGCATAAACGATGAACAACACTAACGTAATATGGACCCCGAAACTAGCTCCATCGCTAACCACGGCTTTAATATGGACATTGAACAAAACCAAAGCGTGTCTCATGATAGTCTGCACACAGAAGAAGTGACTTCTTACCAATCCGTATCTCTGAGATGCATAAACTGTGGAAGTGATTTGATAGAGAGAAGGCGACATAGTCCAGATCTTAATTAGGTTCAGTCTATTATAAGACAGTGGATAGCTCCTCGACGAGTAAGTGTCAATTTAATTAATTATTTAAATTACTCGTTTTTTAATAGATATGTATTGTATATGCTATTCCTGTAATGCAAAATGAGGTTTTATTGTTTTATATAATTATAATCCATAAGGATTAAGTATATAAATACTGTTGTATTATAATAAATGAAAAGATGTTTACTCCTAACACATTAGCTGACTTTGTTATCGAAAATAATTTAAATAGAAGGCGGGCAGATTTTCAACCTATAAATGTAAACATGTATAGTTTCATATTTCCAAGAATAGAATATAATGATCTTATATTAATTGCATGTGGAACATACCAACTAAAACAAGCTTGTTTATATTACGGGCAGCACATAAGAGGCGAAGGTTCCTATACTTTAGAAAAATGTAGAAATATAGCCAGCGACCTATTAGTTGACTACCTGATTCCTTTGGCCAACTGCAGATTATTGCATGGAAAAATACAAAGCAGGCATGTAAGTAGAAAAATATATTTTATATATACAGGGTGACTGGTGAATTACTATTGATATTTGAGGACGTGATATTTGACGATCATATATGACAAAATAAAAATTAATATAACATAAATATTAATAAACTTCTAAGTAAAGTCAACCAAAAGTTATGTAAATAATTACGCATCGTATGAACACCCTACAGATTAGGTATACACACACACACACACGTGCGGCGGCGTGTTGTTGTATCAGCACGCCGCCGCACGCGTCCACACTTGGAACACTTGGAACGTGTACACACTTTATTTATTTATACGGAAATTTGGTCAAAAATTAAGTACCTATTTTTTTTACATAATTCGAATGAGAATCATGTACCGAGTATGCTCTTTAAATATTGATAGTAATTCACCAGTCACCCTGTATATATTATATGATAATAATCACAATGGTAAGGAAGCTATAAAAGAATATTATTGTAATTGTATGGTTGGTCGAAGGACAGTGGGTTGCTGCGCTCATATAATGACTATTTTATGGTTTTTAAGTTGGGCAAGGTATCAGGAACACATTTCACCACCTGTCCAATTTCTTGAACACATATTAATAACATATGATGTCTCAGAATAAAAATAAATCATAAAAAATGTTGTTTTATTTTGCTTTAACCTGTTTTTCCTCACATGACAAAAATCTCTTTTTAAACATTTTGATACAAAATTAAGTTCATATTCTCATTATTACTAGTTAGTGCTTTTAAACTAATTACAAAAAATATGATAAAATGGCTGTTCACGTCAGGCCAAAGTCCCCATACTAAGTGGACAATCTTCTTTTAATTATTTTAAATAGTTTTATACTATAATTTGCAAAGTTTTGTAAAAATTCACCGCGATGCTCCATATGCACAGAGGGGTATTCTTTCAAAGAATGCAAGGTTAACATTGAAAAAGCTTAACATTAATTGTAATGGCAATCACATTGCCATCT